CCCCAAAACCCCAAAACCCCAAAACCCCAAAACCCCAAAACCCCAAAACCCCATACAAATGAAACACTCTTGAAGCATTAAATAAGGAAATATAAATAAGAGAAATCGGCCTGTGCTAAACCAGCTCCATGATGCTTCCTTGGGTGAAATTTTCTAAAAAAGAGAAAGTTTCTTCATCTTTAAACTTGATTTCAACAAGTCTTGTGATTCTTTCTCTTATTGATTGAATGAACTTGCTTACTTTTCCTATATTCTCATTAACTTCAGAAGCCGAGGGAATAGAGAATCAGAGCTACACATACTCTCAAGGTATTTCTGCAGTGATTCATGACAAAAGTATGTACATTCCAGTTCGATGAACACTTTTCCTCAGATTTTTCTTCTTGTTTCATCCTCTCTCAAATGTCATAAACAAATACTATCTTTATTTAAATTGAGCTTTAGTTTCCCAAATCTTTCTAAATTATCAATAATTCATTAAAACAGCTAATATCTCTTACGGAGAGGAGAAAAAGTTTTGTAGAGACTACCTTGTACTTCATCAACAAGAAAATTTATTCACTCTCTTCAATTATCTACTGTAATTGGCCTATTTCCTGTTGTGAATACTGTGCCTAGACATACAAAATTGTTATCCCCTTCCTTTATAATATAGGTATCATACCTATCTGGTTATCATCAGCATCATCTACAGGACTGGGAGCAAAGAGCTCTGCAATTCTTTCAACAAGAAGATCTTCTGCTCTATGAATCATTGACAAAAAATTACTCCAAAATGTCACTAAGAGTTAATCGATCAATTCTCTCCATAATAAAAAATTCTAAAACAAAAATTTGCCAAAAATGTTTAATTATTATTATTTTTATCTGATCCGAATTTTATACTGTTCTTTCATGGAAACTTAACCAAATAGCCCAATCTTTTGACATTTATCCTGTTAAATTCCTATAGTTTTGTTGATAGCAATCTGTAATACTTTCCATGAAAATGACAGTGATAAGAAATGGAAGCTATATAACCTATTTTTTTCTATAAAATTTAGAAGTGTGCATTAATAAAGAAAACCATGATTATACGTTTCATGGTTTATTTCAATAGGAATATTCTTAGCCGGGGTTTTGGGGTTTTGGGGTTTTGGGGTTTTGGGGTTT